TGCTTACGCCAAGACAAATATTTTTCAGACACATTGTTTAAATGTAGATCTTAATTTGGCCCATAGTTTTTATCTTTTATATTTAATCTTAACAATAGGAAAATTCATTCAAGAGATATATGGCATGAAGCAATTCTAAAGAGTTAGCTTTTCCTGAACCGTACAATCTTCCAATCAAGATATAAACAACCTATTTGGAATTCTGAAATTTGAGAATGAGTTTAAGGAGATCTTCAGAAACTGTCTCTAATAATGTGAATGATGAAGGAATCAGCTTATGATTCCAAGGCTTTGGCTTTGTTTGTAAAGGTTATCCATAAAACAATTTAGACACGATATCTAGGAAATGTTTTTGTAGGTAACAATTTAAAAATATCCTTAATAGATGTCTTTTTAGATGCCTTCCCTAAGAGTTGTACTCAACTAAAAGTAAAAACTAAGTTCTCCTCATGCGGCTGGTGTTGCTCAGTGGTTGAGTGTCCACCTATGAACCAGGAGGTCAAAGTTCAATTCCCAGTCAGGGCACATGCCTGGATTGCAGGCTGGATCTCCAGTAGTGTGTGTGCAGGAGGCAGCCGATCAATGAGTCTCTCTCATCATTGATGTTTGTTTCCCTCACCCCCTCTCCCTTCCTCTCTGAAATCAGTAAAAATATGTTTAAAAATAAAGACTAAGAAAAACTAATCTTTTCTCCACATTCCTTTCCCAAAGGACAGAACCGAGATTTTCATCAAAGGACAATGTTTTTCCTGGTCCTTGTACTTCCTGGATTTACCTGGCATTTAATAATGTGGTCAGTGTTCTGTAGACAGAATTGAGTAGCCCTGAGTTTATTTTTTTTCCTTTGAAATAGTGTGTAAAAACCAGGCAATTTTGTTCCCTGCACCACCCCCCCCCCCCAAAAAAAAAATAATCAGGCAAAAATGCCATCCCTATAGTAGAAATAACTTACTGATGGTTTATGGGGGAAAAGAACACACTTTGCAAGAAAGTGAGATTTTATTTTATGTTTTTGAATTACAATTGCTATAGGAAAAGGATATATAAAAGAAATCCTGACAATATTCTAAAAGAGAAAAAAAAAGTATGACTGGAAGACATTCCAAAACCATATTGGGGGAATTCCAAGAATTTCATTTACCAACTTCTTTGTGCAGCAAATAGAAATTTTCATAGCTTCCCTTGAACCACATGAAATACAAAATAGCTTTTAAAGCAACGTACATAAAAGTGAAATGGGACCCTTCCACAGAGATTTGAGGTTTTAAATTATGTTAGGGGAAAGCAATATATTTTGTGTTTATGTATTCACTATTTTTTTCCAACAGAGATTTCATTTTTAATTTTTAAATCTATTAAAATAGGTATATGTCTCAAGTCTTATCAATGTGAAATATTGAAGAGAATTGCATTAGTTATAATTATTTATTACTTTTAATTTCAGACCAACTGTAGGAAAATATTAGTGCATCTTTCCCCATCCTCATACAGTTCGTGAGAAACAAATCACAATTACAGTATGTGATATTTACAGTGAGATAAGAGTTTGTGAGGGAATGTCTATCTCTCGGGCTCTATCAGGGAAGTCAAAGGGACCAAAGACAGTTGATCTCTGGTCCCCTTAATTTCTGCACATTAGCCACTGCAAGTATTGGGCTGCTGATCTCAGAGCTATTGCTAAAGCAGGGCTGTCACTAGCTTCCCAAGTGTGACAAGTGGCAGTACTGATAGGAAGAGCCAACAAGCTGCTCTTCTCTTTCCTTCACCCGGCAGCCATCCTTTCTGATTGGGTCATGCTCCCGGATGTCTTAAAGACACCATGACCTAGAACCTTTGAGGAACTATCTTTTTATTGACCTAGAATATGACCCTGAAAGATATCTCCCTCCTTCAATAGGTATGTTTCAAGGTCTTAGATGTAAATCCTATACACCATTTTCTTTATAAATTTAGCAGCTGCAAAAAGTTGCTCCATGAACATCATAAGCTGGTTTTTGCTTATAGGAAGGACTCATTTCTTCTCTTAGAATCTTCATGGTCCACCCTCCCCTCTCCCTCCACCCTGTGGTCAAAGTTATTGCTGCTTTCAAAGTTATGCAAACAAGAAATGTATAGCAGAGGATTAAAAAAAGTTTATCACAAAAATGTACATATAGCTCATGGGAGACTGTGCATGTTTTGAATAAAAGTCTGCTCTTACTCTCCAACTATTACTGTACGTAGGGTATTCCATTTCTTCCTTAAAGTGACATGCCATAAACTGAGTTTCAAGTATATATCTTCATGAAGGATGTATTAATTTAAAATATGCTCCCTTTTTATCTAGTACTACTGGATAATTTTCTTTATGTATTGATAGTTAAAAATTTGTTTTTTTCTAGTTTTTTTGTTTGTTTTGTTTTTACTTAGCATAGCTTATTTACAGTGAGATATTTGTACCCTGTATCATTATCCCCCTTTCATGAAAAAAAATATCACATTTTTTTTTTGTATTTTTAATCCTTCCTATCCATTCTTGCCCATTAGGCCAGTACACAAAGAAGTACCTCTGATTTAAAAAGAATGCATTTGATATCGAACAACTTCTATTTTACAGACTCTTTTATTGTAATAGACATACATAAATTTTGTCTTGAACTAAAATATTAAATAAATTAGTATTATCAATTGAAGTCTATGAATTTTCCAAGTATGCACTGTAAAATCGTCAATATATGCTCAAAGAAAGGCAAAAAAGGGGAAAAAATCCCATACCATGTAGTTGGAAGAACACTTGGGAAATAACTTCAATGCATTATAGGTTACGTTCAACTTTTAGAAATGAAGTAAATTCACTATAAACTGTAGGGTAGGTCCCTAAGGAAGCCCAGGCTCTAGTGGCTTTCCATTCTCCTGGAGCTGTGAATCCTATGGATTCTTACTTTATTCTGTGATTTTCACTTCCCCTAAAATCACCAATAAAACAAAACTATGCTCTGTTGCATATGATGTTTTTTTTTGGAATATACGTAATTTTTAGAGCTTGTTAAAAAGATATTTCACCACATAGCTCAAGAAAATCTAGGAATGGCTTTAAAAAGTTGGATATTATGACAAAGAAGTGGAGATGGGTAATCCACAGAAGATGGTTTCTCTCTCTCACTCTTTCTCTCTCTCTCTCTCTCTCTCTCTCTCTCTCTCTCTCTCTCTCTCTTCCTCCCTCCTTCCCTCCCTCATCTCTTGGGCTAATGGAAGGCGGATCATTTTAAAGCTTTATTTCAAGAAGACTTTGTTTAGCTGTGAGGATTATTCACGCCCTTCCCAAAGGCCATTGCGGCCTCATTGTTTTTTGGAATGTAATTTCTGGGATGCAAGACTAGTCTCTCCCGCCTGCCTTGCTGGAACCCTTAGATACCAGCTCCTAGGGCCTAAATTTCCTTGGGGGCCTGCACAAGGCCTGGAGTCAGGCATCGGGTTTCATCACTGCCCCTCCTCCTGTTCTTCTGGGTACACTTTAAGCTTCATGTCCTTCAAACATCGTAAAACACACCAGAGCTGTTATGGCAATACCGGGCCATTCTGGGCCCCTGCGTTTACATACGATGTAAGCAGGTGATATTTTGTAAGCATACGAGGCTCTACACCCAGCAGTTGATTTTTTTCTGCAATTACTTTTTGAGCCCTGTCACTGACTTGTATGAACCTGAGAAAAATCACTTCCTCTCTTGTGTGACAGGTTTCCAGCTGCAAAATTAATTATCCACTTACTTCTGAAACAAGGTGTTGTAAGGGTCAGCGAGCTTGAGTTTGTGAAACTTGTCACCGTGCTAATCTGAAAGTTGTTCTGTTATCACAGTTTGTTTTTTTTAAAGTTCTCTTGCTCTTTAGGGTTATTTACAAAACTGAGTGGACTTTTTATAACATGCTTGCATTTCAGGCTTTTCATTTAACACTTATTTATAGGGAAATGTTAGTTTAGAGAAGAAGTGGAAGACTAAGCAAGGCACATTTACCCTTCCTCCCTTCCTCCCTCCTTTCCTTCCTCCTTCTCTTCCTTTACTCCCTCCCTACTAGGTGCTAAGCACTCTGTTAGGTGAGGCTACTTCCCTCAAGTCTCTCACAGTTCAATGTAGGTGAAGTGAGGATTACAGGGTGGGAGGGGTGAGAAAAGTACAAGGAAGCCTCAGGGATGGAACAATTACTTGTAATTACTGAAGGACGCCCAAGATAGGGAGCAACTTTCTTTTTCTTTTTTTTTAAATATATATTTTATTTATTTCAGAGGGAAAGGGAGAGGAGAAAGAGAGATAGAAACATCAATGATGAGAGAGAATCATTGATTGGCTGCCTCCTGAACATGCCCCACTGGGGATGGAGCCAGCAACCCAGGCATATGCCCTTGACTAGAATCGAACCTGGGACCCTTCAGTCCACAGGCCAACGCTCTATCCACCGATCCAAACCAGCTAGAGTGGGAGCAACTTTCTTGAGAGGGAACACTTTGAAAAAAGCCACAGAGATCTCGAAACACAGGAAAAGAATTTGATTTGAATTCATTTAACTTTTTAAAAAAATATAAGCAAATGCCTTATACTTAAAATCACAGGTGAAACAAATGTAATATATGGTTAGACATTATTCTATGTGAACAGATACAATCTCCCCCTAGCTCTGTCCCTGTGTCCCTCCTTCCTTTCTCCTTTGAAATCCAGCTCCGCTTTTATCACTAGGGGCATGGTGTAATCTCTCTCTCTCCCCCCCTTCTTCTCCTTCCTTCATTTTCTTTTCCTTCCCCCCACCATGCCCTCCCCTTTCCTTTTTTCTGAAAGGGCAGTCAGATGTTATCCTTGAGCATGATGTAATACCTCTGCTACTTTGAATTCAGGTCACCATCTTCGGGACAGCTCTTTAACAGGAGATTTCCAAAGAAATCCCAATGGGACTTTTCCAGTTTTCTGTCAGCTGTAGGCTAGGGTCCTTCTCTCAGTCTCACGTCTTCCTAATCCACCTGTTTGTTTTAGGTAATGGGACTCCTGACCAACCACGGCGGGGTACCCCATCAGCCCCAGACCGATTATGCTCTCTCTCCTCTCACTGGGGGCCTGGAACCTACCACCACGGTGTCGGCCAGCTGCAGTCAGAGACTAGACCATATGAAGAGCTTGGACAGTCTGCCAACATCTCAGTCCTATTGTCCACCCACCTACAGCACCACGGGCTACAGTATGGACCCTGTCACAGGCTACCAATATGGGCAGTATGGACAAAGTAAGCCTTGGACTTTCTAGGGGGTATTTACGTCTGGAAGGGTACAAAATTCCAACTCTTCCTTAAGGAAAGGGAAGTGGCGGCCTGACTCAGCCTTGCATCCCAGGATCAACTGGGGCAAAGCCGGCTGAGGTTCCAGCAAGGACTCGCTTGTATAATTATTTTCTTAACAGATGTCAACAACATCTTGCGGTTATTAATTGCTGCGATGTGAAACCTGATTGCCACTAGGTAAAACACAAGGGTTGGCCAAAATGAACTAACACTTGGCATTAGAAACACATGTTCTTAATGAGGTCAGTTCAAGGATCATGTGGAGTATAATCCCAAAGACACAGAGTTGTGTCAAACTTGTCTCAGGAATAAAAATATTAGTCTCCATCCTTTGATACCACGGTATTAAATATGACATTGTCAGCCTGTAGCTGATTTTGCCCCTTGCCGTGAATTGTCCCAGCGTGACCTAAAGAGCTGTGTGTGTTTCCTTACAGGTGCCTTTCATTATCTCAAGCCAGATATCGCATAAGTGGACTGTCCACTTGGAGTAAAACTGGCCCTGTTTCCAGTCTCCACAGCCGAGACATGAAGAATCTCAGAAAAAAAAAATCACCCTCTCGGGGGGCAGTCTTGACAGGAGACAGAGGAGAATGATTGATTTTCTTTCTCCAGTAGTTGGTTTCAAATTCTTTTGAACATGCTGGACAAAAGCCGTGGAGAAAAGGAAGACGCAGATCAGTAAAGACAAATGCAACATTTTAAGGCAATGATTTAACATGGCTACATATCAAATATCCCAACATTTAGTGCTGATCATCAAGGAGCTAAAACATTCCATTTGTGTGTGCGTGCACATGTATGTATGTGTGTGTGTGCACATGTGTGTGTGTGTGTGTGTGTGTGTGAGAGAGAGAGAGAGAGAGAGAGAGAGAGAGAGAGAGAGAGAGAGAGATATCTATCTGAATTGGTTCAGGCAAGCAGAATGTTCTAAAATATAGTCAGAAAATTCTCTAAAGTATAACCTTGATATCCAATGCTGACACTTCTACAACTTTTAAGCTGCTCACTTAATGAAGCAGGCATGGAGGAATCCTTGACTTTTACACACTGGAAATTGATATACAAATAAATGCCACCATTTTTAGGAAGATAGACTAGCTATAAAGGACCTCCCAAATAAATTATTTGTTCTCTTATCCTCACTTGTACTTCAGTTGTTACTAAATGTCCCAGAAGGACACATCTTGCTAATGGGACCTGGGATAAGGGGAGGAAAAGCCGGTTTTCCTTCCCAGCGTGGGAGAGGTGTGTGTGGTTTTCGCAATTCAGTTTCACGTGGAAGCCTACCTGGGCGGGGAGGGGGCGGAGAATTGAGTGCATTCCCACAGCTGCTTATCAGTGTGCAATACTGTGTACCTCACGGACACCTTGGCAATGCCAGGGTCATAGATACAGAATCAGAACTATATTTTTGCAGGTGCTTTATTTTCGCAGCCCGTGATTCCCTGTGGTCAAATGCAGAGATATTCGCCACTTGCTGGACAACTGACACCCGGCTCGCTCCTTTTGACTAGAGACCATATTGGAGAATAATGCTTTTAAAATGACTATGTTTACATTCTTCTCTTTTCTAGGAAAGGCAGGGCAAGAGCAGAAATGTCCACGTGGCTCTCCTGTACTTTTAAATTATACAACAATATCCAATATGAAAAGATTCTAGAAACTGAGGTTTACATATGTTATTGTGGTGACATTGTAGAATGTCAATAAATTTGTTTTTGGAGGTGTTAAAACAAACAGGCAGGGGGAAGGCAGTGTTATTTATTTCTTTCTACGCTTGGAATCACGAACGAGGTAGGCACAAATACATTCCCTTTAGCGTTAAGAACTATGACATAGTGAGTTAGTGAGACTAGACATAGTCCCGAGTTTAGTTCATACATTGGTCTTAGTGGGTGATGGATGAAGAGAAGATCTATCTTTGTGTTGCAGCCTCAACCAACAACAATGTGTTGTAAAAATGTCTTTCATGTAAAAAGTGCAGTAAATATTTACTATTTATAATGAATAAACAGTTATGAAAACTTGCCCAACACTGATTTTTTTTTTGCGGGAACTGGTGAATGTAGTATTAATAAAAACTTGGAAATGGGGAGCCAACAAAACATATACTTCACTCCTAACAGTGCCTTTTAGATTAGATAATAACATGGACAAGTAAAGTCACACGACCCACAATAGTGTTTTCTTGAAGAAACTTGGTTGCACACACTTTTAAGGACCGAAGTTTGTATTTTCATAGATGTGGAACGAAGTCCAGCTACCTCTCTCCTCTGTTCTCTCAGAGCTCTCCCAGCCCATTACTGGGAAGCATGCTTTCCCCCAGTGCACCTCACTTCATCTTCATCTCCCATGGTCACCTCCAATGAAATTTTGATCGAAAGCTGTCAAATTTTATTTTGTTTTAGAAGCTTTCTTCACTCTTCATTAAAAACATTACTGCCTATTTCATTCATTTTTCCTTTCTTCTTCCCCCCATTTCCTGCCTCCCTCTCTCTTTCCCTCCCTCCAACACTTATTTAAATGCTTATTTTATGAGAGTCTAAATGTGCCATCATGGTTCTTGGTACTGGTGTTTTAGCTTATAACCTAGTGGTTAAGGCAGAGGAGTAAATACATAGTTGTAATGAATTAGGAGGACTGTTTTCATCAGATGAATAACCATGAGGTCCTTGCTTATAGTAACTTATTTATTTCCCCCAGCCTCTTATATGTAACAGGTGTTGACATTAGCATTTCTCTTGTAGAGATGAGGAACCTGAGGCACATGGAGCTTATATGAGATCACCCAGGGGCAGAGCTGGGATTTGAGTGCAGGCAGTCTGATTCCAGAGTCTGTGTGCTTACACTCACCCTCTTCTGCTTCCCCAAGTCCAGACTGTGTGGGAGAAGCTTAGAATCAGAAAGATCTCAAGGAGCACTCTTCACTTTGATAGCAACTAGCTATGTATGGCTATTTAAATTTAAAGTCATTAAAAGTAAATGAAATTAAAAATGATTCCTCAGTTGCACTAGCCACGTCCTAAGCGTGTAACAGCCAAAAGCTACCACATTTGGCAGGAGAGATATAAAACATTCCCATCATCACAGAAAGGTCAGCGCTGACCTAAAACATGTGAGTTCATTTTTTAAAAAACCCCAAGGACCTGAAGTGTAGTAGGTAAAATGTCCAAATTCTTTAAATGCCTTAGGTCTTTTCAGCTCACACACTCATTCTTTCAGCCAGCTATGTTGCCTTTTTCCTGACAATTATTTCTTCTGAAACTATTATAAAGAGAGGAAAGGAAGGTACTCTAACTTTTGTTATCTTGTTTAATCCTCACAAAATCCTGTGAGGCAGGCATATTTAGCCCCAATTTACAGATGGATGGACTGAGGTCTATAGTTGTTCATCAGTCTGGCTAGGGTCACACATAGCGACATTGCCTTTTACTTGGGCTAATGGCAGAACGTGTTTTTCTGTTTGCCTTTCCAAATGCTGCCTGTAATATCACTTCGTTATGTCAACCTATCCTCATGCCCAACTCAAGTTGAAACCAGGCATTAAAAAAACTCACTCCCAATACACGAGGGAAAATACCAGGATGTGGGATTACACAACAGCAACTGGATGTTACATATCACTTTCCCTTCCCTACTGATCTCAGAACGTGCCATGTGTGGCTCATATCTCTTTTTGATATACTTCTTTATGCCCTTTTATGTCTGCATGCCTCTGAGATCTGTTGCTTTGCTCATATTTTTCCTGTTGTAAGTCTCCGTAGACTATTTGTTCCCTAATATGTTTTTTTGGTATTGAATCCATTTTCAAAGGAATGCAGCTTTGACATCCCCATCCTAACCCTGGTCAGGATCCTTACTTTCATCCCCTTTAAGGACTTTGAGCCTTTGGCAGTCAATTGGGCTTTAACCTGAATGTGTCTGGAGAGGGTCCCCTTTATCCATATAGTTATACAATTTAATTTGTAAAGTTAAAACTGAAAATCAAGTGGCTGCATTAATGTCAGCTGCTGAGTCATTCCTTGGCAGCAGTTTTCGTAGGAATAGATATCAGACTTCACATCTGTGATGGAAACAAACATATTGTTTTGGGCTTTTAATCAGCCCAATTTGGAAATGTATTTTCACATACACTTGGATATCTGGGGAACATCCTGTGTTAGAAGGGATCTTCATTAGTGCTGGCATATAGAACCAATGTAATGGACAAAGTCACTGACTTATGGTTGTGAGTTTAGAAAGAGTCTTAAATGAGGGAGGAAATGGGTTAATTAATACCCTTTGTATGGACATGTCATGGAAGAATCACTCCTCAAACTATGTAATTACCACATGAGACCAGAACCAACATCTGTATAGGAACAAAATCTATTTGGGGATAAAGACTTGGGCCTCAACCATTCTGAGTAAATGATTTTTGGTGCTTAATCATTTATGAATAAGGAGAGCTTGTATCAAACATTGAAGAATGGAATAAGTGACAAGTGGCAGTATTTGTGCAGAGATTCACAAAGCCAGTCTCAGTCCTAGACATGCACTCATGGATCTGGAATTAGTTTTAGATGATCTATGAGAGAAAAGGAAGAAACGGAGCTAGGCTCAGGCTTCTTGCCAAATGCCGGTGACATAAGCCAGTTCTATCTTTTTCATAGGTCCATTCTTGGGTATTGCTGACCGTTGTATCCCATCATGTCTGACCCATGATGGGTACTCAGTACTGCTTGTTCAATAAAAGAATAAAGAAGTGAATGAAGAGTGACTCTCTTATACCCTCTGTTTCTGCACGATCTGAAGAAGGAGCTCAACCTCAAGTGTGTGTGAATTGGGGTGAACAAGGGTGATATTGCAGTAATCTTTGGGATGGAGGGGACCAGCCATTGGCTCATGAATCAGAGGCACGCAGGTGGTCTTGAGATTGGATTGGTGCAAAACCTTAGGAAAGAAGGGAGAGGTAGGGGGTCTAACAAGTCACTTAAAAGCCATATTTCTGTATTTCTGACTAATGCAGCTGGCACAAGATCTTGATTTTTGGATTCACTACTGGGAGGATCAGAATAAAAAAGGAAAATAGCTATTTAGTTTTTTGCTTAGAGCTCTGGTTTTCAGCCCTGGTTGTATAGCAATCTGCGGAGTTATTGATAACAACAACAATAACAAACAGGCTAATGTTTGGGTGTACCCAGACTGCTGGACTCAGAATCCATAGAGATGGATGCAAGGAGGGTTGACAGAGAACTCAGGGAGAAGTCTTTAAAAATTTTTTTTTCTGTAGTGTATAGAAATACAGTTTTTTTTATTTTAAAAATATTTTTATTGACTTCAGAGAGGAAGGGAGAGGGAAAGTTAGAAATATCAATGATGAGAGAGAATCATTGATCGACTGCTTCTTGCACGCCTTCTGCTGGGGATTGAGCCCGCAACCTGTGCATGTGCCCTTGACCGGAATTGAACCCTAGACCTTTTGGTCCACAGGCTAATGCTCTGTCCACTTAACCAAACCAGCTAGGGCAGGGAGAAGTCTTTGGCTGCATTGAAGCCTTGACTGCACTTGACCAGAAAACTGACTGATGAGTTTTCTGGGACCTGAAGCAGTGTTTAGGGTCACTTACCAAGCAGAGCTGAGAAACAGAAGTCACTTTGGAATATGGAGACACTTTAGCCTCATTACCCCCCAAACTTCACCACCAGCTCTTGACCCAGAGGGAGAGAAGTAAAGAGGAGCAGTGATGCTGCACGAGGGTGAGTTGAGGAATTTCTGTTGGGTTGGTGTGTGCCAAGATAGTGTTGTATCCACAGCAGGAGGTCCACAAAGCCCCATCACACAAACATCAGCAGGCCTGGGGCTTTTCCCCAAGAAGTGTGTTGACATCTTGTTCCTCAGGCTCTTGTAATCCTGTGGCATTCAGGAGAGTTTTAATCATGTAACAGAAAAAATAACTGCCTTTTGATCCTGCTCATCTGGCTCACCCCCTCCATGAAGCCAAGCATTTATACAGCTCCTGAGCCTTGAAAATAAGCCCCACACATTCACTGCTTGCAGAGTGAGGGAGTTAGGCAGTGGTTTTATTTCCTAATTAATGTATTTGATACCTTTCCAACTCCTGTGTGCTGGGCAGTGGGGCTATGCCGATGAATAAGCCAGTTCTTGTTGTCAAAAGACCACAGCCCTGAGGGAGCTAGATCAGTGAATGAAGGGTTGGAACACAAAGTAACATGTAAGGAAGAGTTAGTGTGAGATCCCAAGGAGAGAGGACACTTTTTAGAGAAAGTTACCCTGGAGCTGAATCTCTAGGGATAAGAAGGAAGTTCCTGGGCAGATGCAGTGGCAAAGGGCATATTGGCTCCATTTTTATATGATACCAGCTGTGGCGTTGCCAGTCAAAAGAAGCCAGGGAATCAGACAGGTGCTGGACCTCCCAGATTCTCCAGTAAGACAGGCCCACAGCCAGAGCCTTGTGGGGCTCTCCAGTTTATACGGTTCAGAGGATCTGAGATTTGGAAAAATGGGACAATTCTTTATTCCTTAAAAATGGATTGAGAGCCTTCTCCCAAGAAACTCATGGGAGAAGGGACATGTGTCTGCCATGATTGTGACTTTTCTAATCTGTGCCCCCAAAAGCTTGGTGGGGGTGTAAGTTAACTCTCGGTAGCCAAGTTGCATTTTCATCAGTGGAGAGTTCTGGATGTGCAGTGCCCTTTGTACAGATTGACTGGGATGATCCATTCTTACTCATTATCCAAAGGTTTGTGACTGGGTGCTTTTTGGAGATGGGTCCCAAGATCTCTTTGCTTAGCCTTGATAGGCAAAAATGGGAAGAACTGCCTTTCTTCTTTTTCTAAGCTCCAAGTTTAAATTATTTTGGGGGGCAAACTGTACCCCTTCCCCAAATACTCTAGTTGTCTCTTAGGTTATGTAAAGGGAACACAAATATCCTACCCTGGAATGGAGAGTAAAGAACATATGTTCAGATGTTGAGAAATTGAGCAACTTTTCAGACAGATGTCAAAGGCCATCTTTGTAGGTGGC